TAATAAACAGTTTTTAAAACACTCAAGGAAGGATCGAGGATGTGATAAAGACATGCGGGATGCTTGCTGGACACCTCCTTCCATTCAGGGGTAGACTGGACATTTGGACGTTCTGGAAGTCCAGAATGGCCTTCCATCCAATGGCTGTCGGCCTGGCTCCATGGTTCATCGACCTTCATCGACCTTAACAAAGGTTTATTTTTGCAAATTTTCACCAGCAGCAGCATCTCGCTGACCAATCAATGTCACCTCTGCCTTTGGAATGACCATAGCCAAGATGCAGAGCAGCAAATAAAGCTTTTTCACGAATGCTAAAAGGATCAGAATCTTCAAAAGCAGCTCAAACTGAACTGCGTGGAAGCACTCAGCGTTTCAGCTTTTGAATGAAGTGATGAAGATCTTCATGCTACTTTCACTTTTCCAAAATAGACAGTAGGCCAGTGTCACTGTTTGCTCGATCTGTGACGAATGAACGTTACCCATTTGACATCAAGCTATTTAAATAATCTTTTGTTTACTAAAACAAACAAAGACGTAAAGCGAAATAATCAATTTCAAATTGATATAAATGTACATGGAGTACATTATTTGAAGTGCTGTTATAGGAAATTAGACATGTAAACTCTGTGTCTAAAATAATTTACCTTTACATTTATTTATTTAGCAGCTGCTTTTATCCAAAGCAATGTACAAATGTGCTGTATCTACACATGCTGGTTGTGGTTGGCCTATTTGGTCCAGGGCTGTTTTTAGTCCCAGTCCGTCCCTGCCTCCAATACATCTGTTATCCATTCATCTGATGTCAATGTTTTTATTTTGGTTCACCGAAAAAAAAAAAGAAGTGGAATATGCCTCATTTCTGTCATTTTTGGGTTATTTAGCTTGCCAAATTGACCAGCAGGACCAGTGTATACAAGTAAGATGATTTATTTGAATTTTCTACCATCTATAAACAAACTTCTTTGGTACCCAAAGAAAGTTCTGAATGTAACACCAATTTTTTAAATACTGTGGTGTGTAGTGGTCACATTACACAAAAAAATGGTCAGTTGTAATAAACACCATACACCAGAATGTGTGTATTATAGTACATTACTACCTTACTGTTAACAATATTCCTATGGACAGAAGGTTTTTTTTGGGGGAAGGGATTTTTCCCCAATTTAGCCATCTCCAATTCCACCCGCTGGTTAGAACTCCCCCAATCACACGATACCAGGAGGGTGTAGGCTAGCACAGGCTTCCTCTGAGACCTGTCGCCATCGCTTCTTTTCGAACTGCCTCTCACGCAACGTCATTGGACAGTCGGAAGAAAGCGCCAACCAGCAGTTCTGTTACGTCAGCTAACAGACGCCTGTGTTGACTAGCATCGTGTTAGGTGATGGGGGAGGGGGTCAAAAGGGGCCATCCTACCCACCCTCGCTCTCTGGGTGGGGAGGATGGCCCCTTCTGGACTCCCGGCAACAGATGGCTGTAGAACTCTCCAATCTCCTGATGACAGGGCCAACGCTTAGGCGGTTGCGCCACTCGGGAGCACTGGACAGAAGTTTTAGTGCATTATGGAACCTAACTTTATGAATTTGTATACTTTTGCTGAGGTGTTCTGGATGCAATTATAACTACTAAAGAGCAATTATACAGGCATATGCTAGTGATTATGAGTTGTATATCTATATCAGTATTTCATGTAGCATATTATAAATGTATTTATAATGCATTATGAACACAGAATGAAGTACTGAAGTACTGAACTTGTAAAATGTATATGTGAGCTAGAAATAAAGTGAGACATATTTTAGACTGGAGAAAAGTTTATTTAAGCCACAGCATTTCCAGTGTCTTATTTTTCATCCAGTATTTTTATCCAGTATCTAATTTCTGCTACTGAATTTGCAATGTTACATTAGCATCAAGCTAACAGTTCCATACAGTGATTTTCCCACACTGGATTTAATATTCTTATGGTGCCACTAGTTTAAACAATGACATTCAAAGCTTGTAATATGTGCTTTATATTGCATATTACAGTCTGTCATTGAATCCTTCAGTAAATACTTCAAAGTAAAGCCTCAATGGTGCTGTTTTTTGGAGGAGCCTGTTAGCTGTCTGCTGAGCGGACTGGTTAAACAAAACCACAATCTTACAAAGGGAGTGTTTAGTAGAGACAGACAAGATTGATAACATTACAAATAAAAAATAAAACAATTAAAAATCCCATGGAGGTGCTAACAGAAATGAGCATTATTGTACTGGTGGTAATCACACTCCACTGCCTTCACTCCTCAGCAACTTCATTTTGAGTGTAACTTCAGAAGGGGTCCCATGAGGAGGGAATGATGGGTTTGGGTTACCGCGATGTAATGTAAAACTAAAGTTTATTAAAAACATTAATGTCTAAAACATGCTTAATTTTATCTAGAGCTCACAAATATTAATTAAGTTCTTATAAAGGGATCACAAAATCATTATTTCTATAAATAAAAATCTATACCCAAAATAACAAATATATTAAATCTGTCACTATAATTGAAACTTGCAAATATGTTACGATACATCAGAATTGACTATAAGCTATTATTCCATTCCAGAAAACTATAATTTATAAGTTGGAAAAATATAATTATAACATGGCTCTGGCAGGTTATACTGCATTGGAGAAGCCATGACTTTCTTTTACACTGACAATATAACATTTTATGAACACTACTTATAATGTGTTACGTTAACAATTCATAATACAACCCCATTTCCCAACAAGTTGCAGAATGTAAATAAAAATAGAATGCAATGATATGCCAAACATGTAAACCATATTGCAAAGGAAAATACTACAAAGATAACTTATCAAATGCTGAAATGTTGAGAAATTTTGTTGTTTTTTGAAAATTATATGCCTATTTTTAATTTGATGCCAGCAACACGTTCCAAAAAGATGGGATGGGGGCATGTTTACCATTGTGCTGCATCACATTTTCCTTTAAAAACAATCTGTAAGGGTTTGGGAACTGAGGAGACAAAGCTGTAGTTTTGAAAGTGAAATGTTTTCCTCTTCTTGTTTGATACAGGATTTCAGCTGCCCGACAGTTTGGGGGCTCATTTGTCATATTTTTCATTTCATAATGCGCCAAATGTTATCAGTGGGTGACAAATCTGGACTGCAGGCAGGTCAGTTTAGCACCCAGACTCTTTTAATATAGAGCGATGCTGTTGTAATACATGCAGAATGTGGTTTGGCATCGTCTTGCTGAAATAATCAAACCCTAACCCTACCCCTAAGATGTCGTCTGGATGGCAGCATATGTTGCCAAAACATGTATATATCGTTCAGCGTTAATGGAGCCTTCACAGATGTGCACGTCACCCATGTCAGCCTTGTCCCTTGCATACAGAGGTTTCTCCAGATTCTCTGAATGTTTGAATGATATCATGTACTGTAGATTATGAAAAGCTCAAGTTTTTTGCTAATTTAAATTGAGAAACGTTATTCTTGTACATTTACGGCATTTGGCAGACGCTCTTATCCAGAGCGACTTACAGTTTGATCATTTTACACAGGTAGGCGAAGGTAGTGTTAGGAGTCTTGCCCAAGGACTCTTATTGGTATAGTGTAGGGTGTTTACCAAGGTGGGGTTTGAACCCCAGTCTACAGTGTAGAAGGCAGACGTGTTATCCACCACACTATACCAACCATTTTTGATCGTGCAGTCTTTCACAGAGTAGTGGACCCATCCTCATCTTTACTTCTGAAAGACTCAGCCTCTCTGGGATCTGTTTTAATACCCGATCATATTACTGGCCTGTTGCCAATTAACCACCAGGTGTATTTTTTAGCATTACACAACTTTACCAGCATTTAGTTGTCCCCATCCCAACTTTTTTGGAACATGTTGGGGGCTTCAAATTCAAAATGGGCATATATTTTTTCAAAAAACAATTTCTCAGTTTCAACATTTGATATGTTGTCTTTATACCACTTTCAATTAAATATACTGGTTAAAGTATTTGCATATCATTGCATTTTGTTTTTGTTTACATTCTGCACAGCGTCCCAACTTTTTTGGAAATGGGGTTGTACATAAAAATGGCTATTAAGTGCCTTTTTATAAACATTCATAGCCATGTGTACAGTGTCTTATGAAAGAATTACAGCATGTTATGAATGTGTTCAGGCGGCACGGTGGCGCAGTGGGTAGCGCTGTCGCCTCACAGCAAGAATGGCCTGGGTTTGATTCCCGGCCGGGCGACCAGGGTCATTTCTGTGTGGAGTTTGCCTGTTCTCCCTGTGTCTGCGTGGGTTTCCTCCGGGTACTCCGGTTTCCTCCCACAATCCAAAGACATGCAGTCAGGCTGATTGGACATGCTAAATTGCCCCTAGGTGTGAGTGTGTGTGTGTGAATGTGTATGTCTGTCTGTCTGCCCTGCGATGGACTGGCGACCTGTCCAGGGTGTATCCTGCCTTCCGCCCAATGAGAGCTGGGATAGGCTCCAGCACCCCACCGTGACCCAGAAGGATAAGCAGTTTAGATGATGGATGGATGAATGTGTTCACACACTCTTGTAGATGTGGTGTTCATAGAAAGTATTACCATTGTTATTAACTGATTAATTTCAAACAAATTAATTTCAAATTGATAAGAACATAATGTGAATAGTTAAGAATAATGAAGATTCCAATTTTGTTTTGTTTTTGTTTAGTTTGATTTTCATTCCTCAAACTGTTTAGCAGTGTTATTTACAAAAATGCTTGAGTTTCATACAATATTTGTTCGGCAGAAACATTATCAATGTTTGAATGCAAACGATTTAAAAACCAAGTGTGAACATAAATATATGCCAACACATTTGACATGCAGTCGAGTTGTTTAGACATCACTAATGGTCATAGGAGCGATAAGCATCTTTAATTTCTTTTTTCAAAGATGGATCAGTAAGAAATTTGCCATTTCTTATCCAGTCCATCATCTCTGTCTTTTGGTTTTGGTCAATAAAGTTCTTGCTACTGTATGTTTCACCCAGCCTTGTAAAGCCGTCTTTGTAGAATTGGTTCCTTTTGTCCTGTGTAAGTCCAGATTTAGCGGTCCTGAATTTACGATGGATACCTGCCATTCAACAGTATGAGAATAATTTGGGTTAAATCAGAAAAGCAGTCTGGACAAAGCATTAACACTTCCAAGACTACACTCTTAGAAATAAAGGTAGTAAACGGTTGCTGGGTCAGTTCCCCTCCTGTCACTGGGGTGGTACGCTCAAGGGTACATCTCAGTACCTTTAGTCAGGGAACATAACTGTACCATAATCCACTGAAATGATATTTTCTAAGCTGTACTGACTCCACACACCCTGTCTCGTCTCCAGGCTTTTTATTTTACTGTTGTGTTTTAAAACATTCGGTTATGAAAAGGTACAAATACGAACTTTTCACCTGAAAAAACTTCACAATTGGATCTTAAAACCACTGTTGTACCTTTAAGGTACATTCACATTGTTTGTACCTTCATAAATAAAAAATGTACCTATGTAGTACCTTTATTTCTAACAGTGCAGAGAGCTGAGTTTTACTTTGAGACTTTGCTCATTAACACTTATTAACACCAGCACTTGCATCAGTAATACACACTTAACTATATGGCAGCAAAGATTTATTTCACTGTGGTGTTTTTAGAGCAGTGCAAGAAATATGAACGCTTGGTGTGTTTTTGGGGGGACTCCATGGATCAATGCACAAAAGCCATCAACTTTTCCAATTAAGGCCTACTTACAAACTGGCTGTCCAGAGGAACAAGCATATGCAAGAAGATCTAAGATAAGTGGAGTATTCTTCCATGATCTTGAAAAAGCTTGGGGATAGGCCTGTCCTAGCTGGAGAGGTTCAGCTGGTTTATTTTTCTAGCACTGCTAAGGACGGACTTGGGTGTTTTGGTCAATCATTTTTGTAGAATTTTTGCATTTTGGACAATTTTTGCATTTTGGACATTTTGGATGTTGGAGAAACGGGAGGGGGAAAAGGCATGGAATGTTGTCAACGAAATAAGTGTGTTAGCACGAAATAACATCACGGCTGTGATTTGGTCGACCTCGAGTGTTCTATTGCTTTTATACAACAGTTAAGTAAATAAAGTAAGAAATAAACTGGGCCGTGAACACAGTGTTTCATATATTGCAGTTTCTTCCGCCAAATTATAGTTCCTTAACAAGAAGCTTGTTGCTGTGTCAGAGTAACGAGCTCCGTCCATTCACTGCACAGTCTGCTGTAAGTCTCGCCTTTTGAAGTACAGACTGAGCCATAAAACTGCTGTAATATCAAGATTAGCTCAGTTTTGTCAATTTTTGCCAGATCAGTATTAATGTTGTTTTGTTCCAGCCAGTCTGTAAAGCATCTTACAGTCCATTTAGTTTGGCGAATGGTATTAGGTTCATTTCTGGCTGATTCCAGGTTGTTTAGCTGTCCTTCTGTCACAGCTGCCGACTGAAAAGCTGCTCAGTGGTGATGACAGTTTGGGAATTTAGTGTAGTCTCATCTTCAGAGTGACCAAATCGGCTGTCGGTCAAATGTAATCTTAAAGGTATCCATATTCTAATTGGCGAAAAGTAAGAAGTAAAAACGTTCAAATGGCTTGAGCGTCTCCTACAGCTGTCAAAGTCGTTGCTCAGCAACATCATCTCAGCAGAGTGATACAGTGTTTGTGCAAAAAACCCATGATGTTATGGTGAAATAACAGCACAGTTAGAATGCTGCTCAACCAATCAGCTTGCATAACTAACTGTTGTATAACTTTTGGGTTTTTGTTAGTGTGTGTGTTTGTCCTAAATCATCACATGGATGTGCAGGTAGCCAATCAGAATGTAAAGGACAGAATCCCAACAGTTGTCTCCTGCTTAACATGCAAAAGATGTCAGATGCTGAACCTAGCCAAAATCAAACCCGTTCAGTGGTTTGTTGAGCTTTTGGCCTGCTAGCTAAGCTAACACTAGCACCACAACCAGTTCCACTTTACTGGCCTCACAAATTTGCCCTTAATCTGCAATAGGTATTATATCCGTCATGCTAGCAAGCTTGCAAATTGAATAGCTATTAATTGTACAATGACACCGTGAATTAAAATAAAATATTATATACTTGGGATATTAAAACAAATAGATTTAGTCTACATAATAACACTTGCTAATTTTACAGCTGTGTTTAATTTAGCAGGCTAATATGCAGTCTGAAAGGATACAAGTAGGTAGCTAACCTGGGGTTTGCATTAGTGTTGCACTGTATGCTTCATGGTGTATCTTGAAAAGAATGTTTGTACAGTATGATTTTTATATTGCTGTATGTCTTTCTAACCTACACTTTAGTGGATTGGTATATCGATCCATTTTTCACATTAAGCATTAAGTTTTATTTGAAATAGGTCCTGTGTGGGTTTTAAAAATCAATTTATTTATATGTACAAGATTTAACATTATATATACATGATTTAAACCAATAGTAGCTTACCTAGCTCCTTTCTGAAGTTGTCTGAAAATTGTGGGTGTGCCATCATTAATGAGAGCTTCAGTCCTTTCGGTACATCTCCTTTTTGAAAGGTTTTCACCAGCAAATCTCTGAGGAACATAAACAGAAGACAAGCTTATTGCTCTGGTCAACAGAAGCTCAGTACTAGTAGCTTTAAATGGTAATTTTAAAAAAAATCGTAATTCTAAAAAACATTTAAAATGCATAATTAACTGGTTAAGAAGTAAACGGAGTCGTTCAGAGTGGTTTGGTGTGAATCACTCTGCTCTAGAGAAACTTACCAAGTCAGAATTGTTCACAGTGGTACTGATAGGAACCAGACGTCCACCTTTAAAAGCTACCTCACAGAAAGTGATTACATGAAATGGTTATGAATTCACTGCCTGATGACTGAGATGTTGTTTTGCCATAGTTTTACAATAACGTTTTGGCTTAAAACGTATTACTAGAATCCATTGACAGTGCAGGTACATGCAGGGTGCTGTGAGGCAAAATAGTCTCCAAAGAAAGCATATTATTTTAGATTTTACACTATTTTACCATCATCAACATTCCATATAAAACTCAGAAGACTCGTTGTGTTGTGGTCATGGTGACCCCTGGTTCCTATGACCACCACGGTAAAAACATCTGAGCCATTTCACTCCAAATCACACTGAATCACTCTGTTTACATCTAACACTGAATTACGGAGAAAATCCCTTTTAATTTCACCAAATCATTTGTTGCAGCTCTGTAATGTTACCAATTATACCAATACTTTTGAGACTTGTTAGTATGCATAGTTATTATTGATAGTGATGACTGATTCAGCATGTGTTGAGTGCACACCTGCATGCTGTGCTCTCCCCAGAGCTGCCGGTGGTCAGCACACGTCTGTGGTCATAATACAGTGTGTTCATGCAGATCTGCATGTTTCCAGTCAGGTCATTCTCCATCTTCATGACCTGCTCACAGAAATCCTTGTTCTTTTCTTTCAGTAATTTGACCCTTTTTGGTTCCTTATTATTATCAATCCATTTATGGACATCGCTCAAGACTTTCTTTGGTGGAATGTGGTCTGCCTCAACCATACCTGGGGTGGGCTTCTTCTTATTTGTAAGTCTTTACAATAAAGAAAACAAACAAACCAAAATCCTGTTAATATTCATTACTCTTAATGAGTATGAAAAAAGAACATCATGTTGTAATTAAAGTTTCTGACAATTTCAGTACAGTACTGTGTGAAAGTTTTAAGGCAATCTCTATTTCTCTGGTCTGTAAGTGACAAATTTTGTATGTCAAACTAACGACAATTTTTTTTTCAAAATACAAAATTATTGTTACTTTTACTGTATCTATGTTTATGTGCATCTGTTTTAATGATACGCCACGTTTTTACAAGCTAAAATGACATTTACTGCCAAGATAAAATAAGATTAAAATAATGTATTAAGGTGCCTAAAATATATATATATATTATAAAATTACATACATATATATATACATATATATATATATATATATATATATATAAAGGTGTATTATTGTAAATGCTAATATTTATAATATTATAATAAATCTAATATTTCGTTGCATAGAATAGTAAAAACCAAAACTGAAAAATATCTAGAGAAATGGTCCATGTACCTTCTGTCCATTTGAAAAATGGAATCGTCTTTTACTGATTCAAATAAAAAGTTTTCCTATCACTTTAATTGCAAATATAGGTCCATGTACCTTTTGTTTATTTAATTTTCATTTTAAAAACCAGTTTTGAAGAACGGCAAATGGGTCGATTCTCATTCTGGTTCTGACCAGTCCAGTCTATTGTTGAGATGAAAACCCAGGTACTTATAAGAGTCCACTCTCTCAATGTCCGTTCACAGTAGACAAATGAAGAAATAGTTTTGTTTTACAGTTTCACAAACTAATTATACAACCAAATAACAAACAAACAACAATGGAATAAAGGGTCATATTTTACTGATCCAAATTTCAGATTTCCCATCATACACAGAAATAACCATGCAGAGCGCAAGTATGGAAGCTCAGAAATCACAGAAATCAGGCCTGTGGGTCTGGTGTATTGGTTGGCTATATTAGTTTTTGTATAGGGGCTTGGCATGTACAAACTATATAAAAAAGAAATGATATGAGGAAGTAACTGAACTAGTACCATTTGATGGGGGCTTCCTGCTCCCCAGATCAGCTGCTGATGCGCTCAAGTTCAAGAAGTATCGTTGATGTTGTGCCCCCATGTATGCACGCCGTCAGGCAGGCATATGGACATTCAATTACATTCTGTCTTCCAATCATAACGATCAGTATTGTAGTGTCTTGGTGAAGAAAGAGACACTGAAGGGGCCGTGATTCTGCTCCGAGAAGTGCTCTTTATTTACACCAGCAGAAAAGGCACAAACAGAGCAGCTCGTTAGCAGAGAAGGTCACCTCTGCTTCATGATGGACACTTAACCCAACTAACTAAACACAGAATGAACACAGAACAGCGCATATGGCGGGAATCATGTAGGAGAGTCACTTTCCCATATTGGCACAGTTTTTGCTAATAGAATAAAGTCAACCAACACATTATGTAGACTTCCACAGTGCCAGGTCTAGGCTGACCTTCTCAATGCCCATACTTGATGTTTCCTGTCAGCATTTTTTAACCACAACCGCCTGATTTCTGAGCTCCTGCGACCATAGGTGCACTCTGCTTGTTTATTTTCGGTTAATATATATTAGTAAAATCAACCCTTTATTCTGTTGTTCCTTGTTTATTATTTGATTTCAAGATTAGTCTGCGAAACTGTAAAACAAAGCTATTTCTTGTTTTTTTGCACTGACAATAACAGAACCAAAAATGAGAATCGACCCATTTTCCATTTTTCACTATTGGCTTTTAAAATAAAAATCAAATGTCATAGAGAAATACAGAGTAAAATAGATTGCCATTTTTCCAGTACAGTACCTTCTTTATACAGCAACTACCTGTTGTCTTATCGTCATCAAATGTCAAAATTAACCCAACACACAACCAGGTACGTACTGGTAAGTTCTCTGTAATATGATGGGAACAGAATTGTGTTCTACATTTTGTAGCTTCATTCTTTGTTACATTCTTATGTATTATGTATGTATTCTCTGTATTGACAGTCTTGTTTCACTGGTTAGCTTGCATTAATATTATACATATTCATTTTCACCTTAATTCTATGTGCTGTTTTTATTTTATTTGTCTATATTTTGCACTAAAATATAGATACCACTTATTTTTTAACCATTGCTTTTCACCTTGATCAGATCCATAAAATTATATACAGTATGTTAGAGAACTTTCCAGTAAATGTATCAATTAATATGGAATAAACTACCGTACTGGAAAAAAATATATTTTCTGAGTACTGAGTACAGTTTTTACACCTTTGTAACCTGTACCTGTAACCTACTGTACTCAAACATAGGCATCACAAAGGAAAATTCCTGAAGCAGTTTGGTAGCACTTACCATTACCAGGTAGCTTCTTAATTAACCGTATATTTCTCACATTAGTTACTCTATACTTATATACTGGACTTGTACTCACCAAGTACCAGAGTACCTGGCACATACTACATGCATGCAAACAATGTTCCAGATCGTTACTTGTAAGCACTACATGTTTTCGTATTAAATACTTATGGTACTGTAAAATAAAGTGCCACTGAATATTACACTCATTCACGCTTTGGTACCAGCTGGTCTATGGCTTGTTGCACACAGCTGACCAAGTCAGGCAGCTCCTCAGGCCATAGGAGAGCTATGGTGTCTTTTTTCAGGCTAAAGCTAACACCAAAAGACCTTTATGTCTACTGTTTCAAAAAATGAATTGAATTGGTTCAGTTCAAACTAGACTAGACTAGACTAGACGGTGATTGAGGATCTGCTGCGTTTTCATTTTCATTTGAAACGTGACTGAAGTATTCCTGACTCACACACTGAGCAACACAGGATAACATTAACAAGGTTTGCTCTGTGTGCGCACTGCATTTGTAGCATTCTGGTCTAACGATTATGACAAAACTCATGCCTGCGAAAGAATTTCAGCCTGTATATCAGATGAACTGATACACCACACACTAGTACTCTTAATATTATTTTGTATGAATAAAACCTGTAGGTTTGAGATGTGTGCTGACTACTGTTATATGTTATAATAATAGATGAAATTACTGTTTGTATTCTCCAACATTTCCTAACTTGCATTCATTGATAATTTGTTGTGGCCTCTTGTTTTTAATGTAATTCTTGTACTTCTCCTCGTCTCCTTTTCTCAGTCCACCTTCTATTTTAAATTTGTTGCAGCTGCTTGTTTGATTAAACATGTTCTGGATCTTCACAGCATTAGCGTATTTGGCTGGCTTTGAGCGGATCTGTAACAGAAAGCACCATCGAAATAACTCATTTTAACAAATTCAAAATTGAATAAGTAAATTTCTATCAATTAAAATATGAATAATATATTAATTGTCACTGATACAATATTAATGTGAACCTTATAAATTATCACTCACCTCCTCACTGACTCTGCTTCGGAGTTCTTTAGCCTTTTCTTTCACAACATGGTCGGGGGCCTTAGTTGTTGCTTGGATGACAGCATGAAAAAGGCAGTTCTGATTTTCTGAATTCACTGCTTGTGTTGAGCCATCAGGGCGTGCAATATCAAAGTGACCTCTTTGTGGGGTGGTTTCACCCTTAATCCTACTTGTCACTTTATCCCATATTCCTCTTTCTCTGTAAAAGCAATAATTAAATCATATCAAAGGTGGTAAATGGGGTAAATGTACCACAACTGTGGAATACATCTTGTACATAGCTCCCGAGAGACAAGCTGGAGAACACAGGAGTGGACCACCACCTATCACCTGGATTCTGGACTATCTCACCAACCGACCACAGTATGTGAGAGTATGAGACTGTGTGTTGTAAATGGTGGTCAGTAGCATGGGGGCCCCGCAGGAAACAGTCCTGGCACTGTTCCTCTTCACCCTGTACACTGCAGACTCATTACAGATGAGGATGGCAGAGAGTACAGAGAACTGACCCAGGACTTTGTGGGCTGGTTTCTGTGGAACCACCTCCTTGTCAATGCGGGGAAGACCAAGGAGATGATGGTGGATTTCTGCAGGCGCAGACACCTCCTTCCACCAGTGACCGTCCAGTGAACGGACATTGAGAGAGTGGACTCTTAAGTACCTGGGTTTTCATCTCAACAATAGACTGGACTAGTCAGATATCATTAGTGCACTGTATAGGAAAGGCCAGAGCAGATTCTACCTGCTTAGGAGACTGAGGTCATTTGGAGTGCAGGGAGCACTCCTTAGGACTTTCTTCGACACCGTTGTGGTATCAGCCATCTTTTATGGAGTGGTCTGCTGAGATAGCAGCATCTCAACTTCGGACAGGAAGAGACCTGACAGACTCATGAAGAGGGCCAGCTCTGTCCTGGTAAGCCCCCTAGACCCAGTGCAGTCGGTGGGAGACAGGAAGATGTTAGCCAGACTAGCATCCTTGCTGGAGAACAGCTCCCACCCCATACATGAGACTCTGGCAGCACTGGGCAGCTCCTTCAGTGACCAGCTTCTTCACCCCAAGGGTGTGAAGGAGGGCTATCACAGGTCCTTCCTGCCTGCTGCTGTTAGACTGTACAACCTGCACTGCTCACAGTAGAACCTCCTCCACCCCCCATTAGACCTCACACACCTAGAGAACATAAACTGTGGAATTCATCACCATTTCCTGTGTGCAATATAATCAACACTCCATGTGCAATATTTTTAAAATATCTCTATAGTGTAAAGATTTTTGCTTTTCTATTTATAATGTTTATATTGTTAACTCCTCACCATCCCATGTGTAATATAAATCAGTACCTCAAGTGCAATACTCTATATGCAATTAGCGTAAAATATCCTTACAGTGTAAATATTTTAGCTTTCATTTATTTATAATAGAGTTATTGTTATCTTATTTTTTTACCTTTAGTATTATATTGTCTATAAAGTAACAAGTAAAGTAAGTAAAGGAACAAACTGTAAAAACCTGGTAAAGTAATTAACAGGGTTAATTACTTGCTTGTTAATTCTCTTCTTGTTACTTCTTTTTCTTTTCTTGAGTGTCTTGCGCTCCCTTTGCAGCTGTAACACTGAGAATTTCCCTGTTATGGGACTAAGAAAGGATTATCTTATCTTGTCTTAAATGGTGTCTACACCACTATAGTTAATGCACATTGTTTTGTCTGTCTCTTTTTTACTACCATAAAAAAATAATTTACCAAGCCAAGCAAACAAAAATGACTCAAATGCATTACGTTTTACTCACCTTTGAGGATTTTGTGGTGTTTTTGTCAGTCGGAGTGTGATGTTACCAGCTGCTGGGTCACTTCCTGGATAAGTCTCCTCTG